TCTCTCGCTCGCAGGCACTTTTCCCGGGGCTGGAGCGCTCCTGTGCCCGGAGGGGGCCCGAGGTAGGTGCTGCTTCCCCACCGCAACCCACGGAGCCGCGAACGTGGCTTTTCCCAGCTGGGGGGGGGGAGGGCGCGAGGATGCTCTAGACACAGGAGAAAGGGGACCGGCGGAGCCCGAGCCCGCCGCAGGTAGAAACGACGAGTGTTTTTCTTCCAGGCTGAGAGCCGCAGCGACAGGCGAGCCTGATTTGATACAATGTCTCTCTTCTTCCCCCTTTCTCAGGCGGATTTGAATTCATGCCACGGAGTGGGTGGTGACCTGTTGTTTTGGTCGGTGTGCTGTTTTGGTGTTTGTTGTTGTTTTCTCCATCTTTTTCTTTTTTTTTTTTTTTTNGTTCTGTTCCAGTCCCTCCTCCCTTGCGTTGTTTCCAGCAGGAGTTCCGTCACCGTTTTCGTATCCCTCTCTGTAACGTGTCTTTTTTTTTTTTTTTTTTTTTTTGCCCCCCAGGGGGAGCTGGGATGAGGCGGGGAGGGGTGTCGGTGGCACCGTCCAAAGTTAAGGCGGCGGGGCTGGGGCTGGGACAAGCCCTCTCGGGCTCCATGCTCCGGGCACCTCTCCTCCGGCTGCAGAAACGCCTCTCGGCTCCTCCTCAGTGGACTCGGCTGAGGTGCCCTCTGCTGTAGGGGTCTCTCCATTCCCAACGCCCAAAACTCAACTTATCACTCGATGTGGGTGACACGGGGCCTGGGCGTTTGGGGGGTGTGTGGTGGGGGGGGGAGGTTGAAGGTGGAAAGGGGGTAAGGAGGCAGCTTAGCGTTTCTTTTAAACTGTTATGTTTGTATTTGCAAGAAACTTTCTCACCCAGCAACTCAAGTGCCACGATAGGTTTGTTTTCCTCTTTTTAAAATGTCAGAGGACAAAAGCTAGGGTACCTTGCCTTGGGGTTTTGTTTTGTTTTGTTTACCCTTTCAGGAATTTTTTAAAATGACAAACCAACAAATATTCATAGGCTAAGAGAAGTTGTTTTTCCTTCATAGCAGATGTCAAAGATTAATAAAAGGGTGAATTATAGTCATGCAATTTAGATGCAATATTTTAACATAATATTATTTATCTAATCTGTCCTGTCATATGCAACTCATCTGTGTCAGAGCCAGGCACTAAATTAAGTACAAACTATGAAGCTCACAGTTCTTATCTCTAGACCATTTCACTCTAAACACATTATGTGTCATTGCTTACATGCCTGTTTATAATGGTTTTTACTGATATAAATGATCCCAGAGAGTATGGAAAGCATGTGTTAGATGTATTTAAAGGCATACTGCATGAAACTATAGAGTGCTTAATGGAAAATATGTTTTAAAAGACTGCGATAGATTTAGGGAAGTGCTAACAAATACCTTGAACATTCTCATATTATGACTGACTGGAATGAATTATAGCACATTAAATACAGTGTTGCCATATCTGCTCTTTAACTAGGCAGTGCACTGATTTTTAAAAACTGACTCCACAAACAGACAATAATTTTTAAAAATTCTCCAAGCTTTCCATACTCCATTTCTCCCACATCCCACTACTAAGTCTAAATTCAACAATCAGATGGTGATTGATTACACTTTACCTAAGAGAGAAAAAAGAGACCCTTATTTATGCAAAGCAAAGCGCTCAGCTTCCATCTGTTTGAGATGAAACATTTTCTAGCAGCAACCTGGCAGAATTGGACAGGGCTGGGAAGATATGTGTGGGCATGTTTGTGTGCACTGATGTGAGTGGTATGTGTGTGCGAGGGAGATCAGCACATGGCTTGACTATAAAGTGTGTCCTTTAGCCTCATGGAAGCATTAGTGAGCATATTTAACAAGGAAACCACAGGCAGAAGATAAAAGCACGACTTTGACATTCAACAGTGTTTCCTATGTTGTTGTGTTTTTTTTTAAAGATAAGTACAGTTGCTCCTGAAATCAAGGTGCATCCAGAATGCAAAAAATGAATTCAGTCATCAAAGCATGTTAACCTTCCCCATCCCAGCCCCCAAACATGCTCTCTCAGCGATAGACACCAGCTTAAAAATTTCAATGCACAGTTTAGTTGCTGGAACTCGAATCAGAAAGGTCAAATTTTTCAGATGCTGAAAAACAAGAAGAGAGTCATGCATACTATACTGGAAATGTAAATCCTAGAGGGAAAATACAACTCACAGTTTTTACTTTGAGCAGTACTATCACCTGAAAGCATTTCAACTTGTAGTTTTTACAGGAGAAATTAAGGTACTGATCTATTTCTGAATGGAGAGGTGGAAGGAAAGTGGAGGCTGAAGGTCCAGGTTTCCATTGCTTCCAATGAGGTGTCACATCCCAGTGAGGTCATTTCCTGACTTCAAAGCATCATCTGAGCTGCCTCAGTCAGCCCTAGTGGTTATAACCTGATGTTTCTCACAGGAGACATTGATCTCTACTGGTTCTACTTTCAGCTGCACAAGCCCGCAATGAGGAAGAAGAGCCGGGGTCTCCCTGACTGCCTCTGGGCCTGGACCCTCCTTCTCAGCACACTGACTGGAAGAAGGTGGGGACGCTTTATTTTCAATCTGCATGAGAATTTCTGTAACTTTTCATGTATTCTTTCAGTGGGAAGAAAATTGTCCTTGGATGAATTCATGACTAAGGGAATTCAAAAAACTTAACTGCAATAAAATTCCAGCTAAGAACCAAGAAGAGCAGCATGAAAAAATAACCATCGTATTTGTATGTTAGTTAGAATACACTTAACATGCTTTTATTGAAGAATGTGTTACTAATTCAGCATTTAAGTCTGAAATTGAACTTTTTTTCACAGTTCAGTTGAAACTGAACAAGACCTGCGGTTTCCTAATTCACACAAAAGTTACCCCAATTAATGTCTGCATACTCTGTGAGTTGATCTCTCAACAAGAAAACGTTTAGCCCACTGTAAAATCATAAAGAAACTTCTGACTATATGGAAGGGAAAAGTTTAAAATGATATTTGTAATTTGAAAGTCATAAGTCTCTTTAAAAGCGTGTACATATGTTTTGAAAACATTTATATAACCAGTAGGGGTAAGATATGCCAGAAAAATATTTAAGAATATTAGATGGAGCTGAAATTATTAATTTAAGCATAACTACTACGGAGACAAGTTGTGAGAAAAATTTAATACTATGCCTAACCATACTCAAAATATTTGCTAATGACCCAATCGAGCATATAAAGATATAATAGTAGCAATGATATAAATGACCAAGTATTTCAGATTGTTCTTTATCTACTTTTATATTCCTTGTATAGTCTATCCTGTGGCCCATAGGAAAGTCTTAGACATATTATAAAAATCTAAGATTCTTCCAAACATAATGGAAAGCAAACCCTTATGAGTGAGGCAGAGAGAGAGAATAGTCTGGGAAGGCGTGAATTTAGGATTTTTAAAACTGAGTTTTTATTTTTTGCTTATTGCGTGTGGTAAATAATGGCTACCAGATAAACAGGGAATGCTTTCTTGCCAGATACTCTTAATCTGAGGAGTTAAATGTTCTTCACTGCTTTGGAAAAATTATATGAAGTGTTACTATTGTGATGACCTGTAGGTGGAGGTAGTGCACAGTGTTTTANATGAATTTAGGAGGATTTTTAAAACTGAGAAGTTTTTATTTTTTGCTTATTGCGTGTGGTAAATAATGGCTACCAGATAANGTGAATTTAGGATTTTTAAAACTGAGTTTTTATTTTTTGCTTATTGCGTGTGGTAAATAATGGCTACCAGATAAACAGGGAATGCTTTCTTGCCAGATACTCTTAATCTGAGGAGTTAAATGTTCTTCACTGCTTTGGAAAAATTATATGAAGTGTTACTATTGTGATGACCTGTAGGTGGAGGTAGTGCACAGTGTTTTATTATATAGTGGCTCATGGAGTCAGAATCAGGTACTGTCACTGACATTTCTCCTCAAATTACAGATTTAGTTTAGGAAACAGTATGTTGGCAAAAGTGTTTAATAGCAAATAAGTTATATTTACCCCAGGGCTACTCTCTGACAATTACAATGGGGCACGGTAGATTAGAAGTAAAGATAAAGAACGCCTGATTATCAAATCACATTTTTTAAAAANACCTGATTATCAAATAACATTTTTTAAAAAGGTTACCATTCCAGCGGGGATAACAGACCTGGTTTTCTGGGAGTGTAGGGATATGTATCTTTTGGCATTNGCCTGATTATCAAATCACATTTTTTAAAAAGGTTACCATTCCAGCATAACAGACCTGGTTTTCTGGGAGTGTAGGGATATGTATCTTTTGGCATTTGTATGCCAATGGAAAAAATTTGGTGAATACATTTATGGGATAAAACCGGGGGGAAAAGTATTTTCTGAATTTGACATAAGCTATAAAAACAAAGGGAATAGAGGTAAAAGTAACAGATAATTCCCTATTCTAAGAATCCTATTAACAATTTAATTGTGCTCTGTCATGTCTCCCATCTCGTCTTTCCCCCCCATCTTATTTTATTGCTTTCTTCCTTAAACTACCTGGTCTTGCCCTCCTCACAACTTAAGGTGTGCTAACATTTCTCTTCCATCTGTATCAAGATGACCTTCCAACATCCTTGAAGGATGCGTGCATGACAGTGGGTTTTTGTGACAGAGTGTTTGTAAATAATTGCGCCCAGAAAACTATTTTTGTTTTACTGCTGTCACCGACTAATGAGACATGCTGGAAGACACCGAGCTCATTAAAAATTTGATTTCTAAAACTAGGAAGATGTTCAATTTTGCCAAAGGAAAGTAAACCCTCAATCTGCATGATATTAATGCTGAATTTAGGAGAACAAAAAATCGTGTAATAGAAGTACATGCCTGTCATCTGTTTAATATCATGAATCGCTTTTAGTTATAATAACTTTACCAGATTAAAATTTATCAGGAAAAAATGGCCATTACATTTTGCTGATATAAAATTAATTACCGAAACAATAGCGCTGGTTTTTGAAATGATATTTTGGTTATAAATAAGTGGATCCTGGTTTCATGTTATTACTTTTTCTTAGATTGATCAGTAATATAAACACGCAAGAGTGGAGCCAAAGCATATGAAACAGAAAGTAGGCAAGGGATCTTTTGTAGCAGTTTCTTAGTCTATACTCGAATTCACATTTTTTTTACTCAAGGTCAGAGCTATTGCTGAAATTTATCAGTGAGTGTGATCCATCCTAAAATAGAAGACTTCTCTCTCATAGGATTTGGAGGTGTCATCCTAATCATTACATAAAATATGATTCAAGGAGCACAGATAATAACGCATCTGATGTCAGAAATACACAGTACTTAAATTGCAGTCACTATGGAACCCAAAGCTAGTAATGGTAAATAATAATAACTACACCTTCAACTGTAAAGATTTAACTATAAACAATCACCCCAACAAAGGAGAATGGAAATAGTTTTAGACTGAAATGTGAAGAAAACGAGGTCTAGTTCAAGCTCTGCTCACAAATAGCTCTGTTTTCTTAAATAAAACGCCAATCCTGCACTACAGCTTAGTAAACCATAAATTAAGAACAGGGGGCCATATCTTTTCCAAGGTTTTTGTGGGTTTTTTTTACTTCTAAGACCAGAAATGATAAAAATTCAGTTAATTAGAGGTTTGAATAAACAAATTATAAATTTATCAAAATAAGTTCATAACCCTTCAGGTGAATGGAAATGGAGCACTGATGTAAAAATATAATTATACTAAGAAACAAGTTTTATCTATTTTTCGCATCTTAATACCTTGAAAGAATATCAAAAAAGCAAAACACACACACACACATACATGTCTATGAAGTAGATGAAGAAAGGGATGTTAGGAGGTGAAATTTTAGGCTTATGCTACATGTTAAATTAAATGAAAATGAAACTATTAATTATTTTGGTAGCTCATAAACACATATATTTTTTTATTTGGGAAGAAATCCCCCAGGATTTTTGTCCAGCGTGCATTAACATTCTTACTCGCCCAGGAAAAAATGCATTAGAGCGCTGTGTACATGCCGAGAATTATGAATGCAAAGAAGGAACTCACTTCCTGGTAATTTTCCTCCCTAGTTAGAAGTATTAGAATAAAGAGCTTATCACGCATGAGAACAAGTATGAGAAAGTAGTAGGAATTAAAATATGACTTTTTTTTTAATTTTTACTTTATCAGAAGGAATTTTTAAAGTAAGATTCAATGGAAGGAAGGAAGGAAAATCTGCGGAAGGGCTTACTTTGGCAAATGTTTTAGTAGAAATGTATCACTTAGTTATCACCTCCCATTATGCTTTTTTCAGCTATGGACAACCCTCATTACAGGATGAACTTAAAGACAATACCACTGTCTTCACCAGGATTTTGGACCGACTCCTAGATGGTTATGACAATCGCCTAAGACCAGGATTGGGAGGTGGGTCACGGTTGTTTTTATTTTAGAGGGCAATGTTAAACCTTTACTAGTAGAGCCTGGCTTCCCCTCTAAATAGTAAAGTAATAAAAATGGCAGCATGTAGTTGAATGACTAACCCTATTTTTAACAGATCACTCTGTATTAATTGAATTTACCATGGTAGTTCCATGTACATATCCATATGTAGTAAAAGGAAGATACAAACTTATAATAACATGAAAGATATGTTGCTTTTACTGGACAGGGTAAAAATGGGAGCAGTCTTCTTCTTTCCAGCCTAAAGAGTGCCTCTACTTCATTCAGCATTGCTATGCCTATCCTGAATTCACATGGACTATCTCTGAATCTACTGCTCTATAAACATTCATTTTGGAATATTACTTATTGATCCACTATTTTGCATTAGATTACTACCACCTCTGAGATCAGAGGTGAGTAAAATAGATGGCAGTGTTTTTTGTTTTTATAAGCCATGCATTCAAACTTAAACCCTTATTTTCTGAAGTAAAAATGTATTTTTTTGTATTGGTATTATTAACTGATTACACTAATAAATTTTAATTATAACCAGTTAGCATTAATTGCTGATACTAATAAATGTTTGCTTAGGAATAAGATAGACTTAATAATACAATATTTATAACAATAAAAGAAAACAGTGCCAGACATTACACTCTTACTTGAATAACTCTTGAGTAAGATAATCAGCCTACCTTATTAAGTTAAACAAAGATTAATGAAGCCAAAACAAAATATTGATCCTAGAGTGAAACAAGTGAGGTAAGGAAATAAATTAGCATCCAAAGTCACGCAGGAAGCCAAGGTTAGCATCTAGGATTACCAACTATCACTGATGCTGCACCTTCTCTGAAGAATTTGTAGAAACTATTTAATAACAATATGCAAATTACAATTAAATGGCAATATTAAGAAGTCATCTCTTCTCCATTTGGGCAGCAAACATATGCAAACAATAGGAAGTTTAAGAGTTCAAAATGTGATTTTAAAGTTGAATAGCAGCATGGATTTAGAGTTAATTTTTTTAATGCTTTGGGTAGTATCATCACCTGGATGTGGATCGTGGGTCTGTTTTGAGATTGCCAAATGCCATTAGTGTCTCCTGGAGGTTGAAGGGAAACTGTTTTGCCAAAGACACAAGTGAAATGTATGTGGAAGGGCTTAGTAGGTGTCCTTGCTAACCAATTTCAGACGCTCATTCTAGGACATGCTACGCAAATTCCTTGGGGTTTGTATTCCACCTAGTTTTCCTCCAGCACGTTCTTAGAAAAAAATCTTAATGTCTGTGTGTGCCTGAGCAGCTGAACTGGTTTCAGGAAAACTGCTCCTGAGTCAGAAAATGTGAAATAAATGAGAAAGACTGCAGGTAGGGGAGGGACGTGCAAGAAGAAACAATCAGGATGTGGCTCTAACCTTGGAAAAGAAAGGCTTTCTGACGCGCTGGTGGACATCTACCTGATTCCTTATTTTCCTTCCTGCTCTGTGATATCGATCCTTACAAAATCAGCAGGAGTTTATAACACATCTAGAAAACCCGGTCTTTCTTCTAGTTTAAGAAATCCCATTTAATACTCTTACGTGTGAATATGAATATTCTTTCTAAGCTCGGTGCAAAGTTTTCAGTTTGGTAGAGAATTTTACACACAGGCACACACACACACACAGGCCCCTTCTATTAGCAGAAACAACTATATTAATTCATAATGCAACATTACTATTACGATAGGATTTACTTTGATTATCTGTTTAATCCCTCCAAAAAACAAAAATAGATGTGAATTTGAAGAAGAGAAATAGGTAGTTGACCAAACACAGTCAAGGTATATTCTTCTTAACTGAAATGGAAAAAATATGCTCTTGTAGTAGAAATTCAAGGACTCGGGAAAACTGAAAAGAAGGAATGTCCTTTCATCTTTGCTAAAGATGATTTTTCCGGTATTCATGATTCCTGAAAACAGTGATTTTGAGGATACAATAAACATTAAAAAGTTTTAAAAGGAGCTCAAATATTTTCCTCTATTTCCATTTTATGTATCATCCTGTAATGGCCTGCAATCCAATCTGATGGATATGAAACTTTGGAAAAACCTTCAATAATAATGACTAACTTAACTTTTTGGACTCCATTTTTTAGCATTACGGGATATAATGGAATATGTTTATAACATCTCCAGTCATTAACATTTTAAGTACATTTTGAGACTGTCTGTATTTTGAAAACTACTCTTCAAAATATTAAATATAGGTTGTAGATTTTTAAAAAACACAATTGGTTGCAGAATTAGAGAAAAATTTTAACTCCATTATTTCTGGATGCTATAAACTGAAATGATCTAATATATATTTCTCTGCAGAATTATTTAATTTCATTTCTTTACCATATATTTCTGGTAGGTTAAGTATGTCATGCATTCCAGTAGATCCCCATTGTAAAAATAGACCTTTAAAAAAAAAAAAATTATCCATTTGCTTTCAGATGAAAAGACTATGTAGAGGAAATACTTGAAAGACTATCACTGGCTTATAAGGGGGTAAAAGTTTCCTCTTAGTAGGTTTATGATCACAGCTGGGATCATCTACTCTTGCAGGAAAAAGGGGCCCACTCTCTTCATTATTATGGCAAAAGTCTGGTGTTATAAAAATAACAACACGTTGTGCAGAAGGCAGGGATATTTTGTTCCGAATGCCCTCAGAAAATATAAAAATGTGACAAGCTGAGCCTTGAGACTAATGTAAGAAACTCTTGTGTGTGCAAATTCATTATGACCTGCTTTTCGGAACCACGCACTGCACCAGAAGGTTAGCGCTGCTCTGTGGGGATATACGCCCTGGGCCCAGTAACTAAGAAACAGAACAGTTCACTTGGTGCATGTGGGTGACAGAAATCAGTCAGCAGACATTATAGCACTTTAAAATGGCCACCTTTTCAAGGCCAAGAGCAATGCTGAGAAAATGAAAATATAAGGATAACATATAAAAAGATCGCCTGGAAGGGACTTTTTGTTGGAGGCAGAAGAGATGGGGAAAGGACCGTGTGCAGTTCTAATGATTTAATGTGCTCTATTCAGGAACACAAAGGCAAAAAATAAGTTGACTGTTCACATTTTAATACAAAGTAAATGAAGAAACCTTTAAATGAACTTGAACTGAAGTAATGAGAAGCCAGAAAAGACAAGTCAAAACTGCCAGTAACTGTGGAGTCCACTCTCACTGAAAACCTGTCTCAGGGGAAGGTGCAGAGGTCTGCTTCCTTCCCAACCAGGCGCTGAAGAATGCGTCTGAAAGACTGTTATCTAGAGCGTGGTCAGCACAGAAGGCAATGGCTGGGGAAAGGGGAAGGTAAAAGCCAGAAAGCAAGGCAAGACAGAAGAGAAAAGGCTAGAGAAGAAGGAGAGCAAAAGGGGGTACTGGAGAGGCGAGACGGGTAGAGAAGGGGGAGACGTACATGGTAAAGGAAGGGCCTGCGTTAGGAGGTGTTTGGGGATGAACTAGGATTCCTCTTTTCATTTTAAACCAGGACCAAACCAAACACTTTTCTGAGATTCACTCTCCCAAGTTTCTCCTTGCTGGCTGTGATTATAATAAACTAAAGAAACCTGAATTCTAACTTTCTAAAAAATTAAGTAACGCTCCCCTTATCTGGTTGCAGTTCAGCCACCTCATAGTGGCATCCCCTGCACTCTGGGAGGGGGGAACAACAACCCATAAGCACAGACCTGAAATTTAATTCTGAAGAAAGATTTTGGGTTTTTAATGACAAATAATGCCCTTCCAGTGACATCTTTACATTCCCCTTTGCCCCACCATATATACAGGTTACACTTTACAGCTGATGTGACAAAATCCCAGGATGAACCAGTTTAATGATAACCAGTTCAGTGTCTGGGACATGCCACCGGGCTGAAGGTTTACTTTTCTCCCATTCATAGGTTCATTCTCACACATCTAATTTACGAAAGACCTTTTCTTCTATAAACAACTTTATTTCACTCCTTGGAAAACAGATTAGGGCAAAAAACATTTTTAAATGGAACTCAGCCAGGATAGTGCCAAAGGAGTAAGATCTTGGTTGAGTCACATTTTAAAGGAATCACAGAACTTTTTACCCTTTCCCTCCCTGCTAATGGTATTTCTTAAAAATTCTTATAATTTCTAAGTGCTGCCTTAAGTTTCATCTCAACAAATGATGCATAGGATGGTGGATACCACTCAAAGATTTTATCATCAAACCATATAAAGAAGGCAAAGGAAAGAGATGAGTGTCATCATCATGTGACAAACCCAGATGGAGGGAAGGAGTAGATATAAGTGAACAGGTAGGAATATAGGTAGAAGAATGGACTTTACTTATCCCTACTTAACAGATATTTAGTTAATATTTTCTTCTTTTTCCTGTGTTACAGATTTTGGGTTTTGTTTTGTTTTAGGTTTTACTTGGAGGTATCAGATACGTATTTGCAACCAGAGTGTAGCTGGAGTTCTCTCTCACGGTATTTTAGCATGAATATGTTATTTAACAAACAATCTCTGCCTCAAAGCAGACTTTCTCCTTATTTCCATAATTTTCCTAATTTTGGATTTTTATGCCTGTATAAGACCTTTCAGACTTCTTTTAGCCCAATTATTGCAAAAGATCCCGACTTTAAGATTTAAACATCTCCAACTAAGTAAGGTGACCAGGTTGGATGTGCCTGCAGTTGGCCAGGTGGTGTTGGCTCCTTGGGAATTAACTTAGGATCTTGGCTTATGTGTCTTTATGTCAAAATACGAGAAGGTGGAAAAACTAAGTGCTCTAGGAAAAAACTGGATTAACTCCAATTTGAAATTGTACGCAACTCTGTAAAGTCTAGATTACTAAGGGTAGAGAAAGCAGTATAGTTTAATACATTTTTAAAAAAAAATTTAGCCTTGTTCTATCTCAAAATTATAAGATACTTGATATTTATGTGATCTCTTGTTATTTTTGTATCCTGTGTGATGTT